AAATTTTATTTTTAAAAGTCTATCATTCTCTATTTCTTAATTGTATGACTTGAATTGGGAGAAATAAATCACATTGGGAATATACTTTACATTTCTCTTTTATGCAATAGTCCTTTAAATAACAAACCTAAATTCCTCTTGTTAAAACTATCATATTTTGCCTTAGCCAATGTAGCTCAGTTAGAGTGTTGTCCTGTGCACCTAAAGGTTGCTCGTTCAATTTCCAGTGAGGGCACAACATTTCCAGGTGGTGGCCTGCATTCCCTATATGGGGCGTGCAGGAGGCAGCGGATAGATGTTTCTTTTTCTTTCCTTCTCCCTTCCACTCTCAAAAAATAAATAAAAACTGTATTTTTTTAAAAAAAGTATTGTGTTTTTTCTCACGACTGATTTACCTGATAGAGTGATAAAATATATAACTTTTAAAGACTAATTTAACTTTAAGCAGCTTTGTTTATACTTGTAGCCTAAACTAATCTATGCATTTGATGTCCTTATATTTCATGAGGGCACTAGTGTAGTCTCTGGTGAAATTTATAACAGTAACTTTGTTATATCCAAACACTTATTTTATTGATTGCTTTCTAGAGTTTTCAGATTGGAATAATGCTAAGAGGATTTATTTTTCACTTAAAGACAACTTGTCTTCATTTAAAAAAATATTAAACATTCCATAATCCTCTAGCCCTCAGATTTCTCAGAATGGCCTTAATAAGAAATTTTCTGTTATTCATACTGAGTTTAAAATGTAATTAAATTTTTTAAGGTTTTGCTATGCCAGCAAATATTAAAAGGAGGTACAGTGAATTTAGGACTTAATATAGAATATATTCAGTGAGAAGCAATTTTAAATGTTTGCAGTTATGACTTAGAACCTGGTATTCAACATTTGGAATAAATATATCACTGCTTCTGTTTTCAAATTTTCCTCTTAGTTTATGTTTATTACACATTTGGGCCTAAATTTGAGGACTTATAGGTATATTTCTTCCAGTGAACACACATGTGTACATATTGTGAACTTAATTTCAAATTAGTGAGAAATATGTGTTACGTTTTGGAAGTGAGAAAAGGCCAGAGTTGTCTTCCTCCTGTTTATTTTATACGTTTATATGCTTTTAGTGATCTTTCACATTTGCTGTCTACGTTCTTACACTGCATGGGAACTCTGGAGTGAAGGTTACAGTTTTTGATAGTGTGGTCCAAAATGAATTTATTAGAGTGGATCTATTTTTCTTATTTTTTATTTTTAGAAGGGTGAAGTGAAGATAAGAATCCTTTAAAAATTAGCATGCTTGTAGTTTTGAAAATGTGTTTTTACTTTTTTCTTTTTTTTAATACAGTTTTATTGATTTCAGAGAGGAAGGGAGAGGGAGAGATAGAAACATCAATGATGGGAGAGAATCATTGATCACTGCAAAAATTTCAGTAGTTAATTTATTCTAATTTTCTATAGTGGGAGTTGCATGGTTGTGAGGCACTTGCCAGATTTCCAGGTATGCATAAAGACCTGTAGTATAGTAACAAACGTAGTGGTCGGTATTTGAAGAATTCATCCCAGGTCTTAACACTGACATATCACTGCAATTATGGAAGAAATTCTAAGGGAAATGCCCCATCTCTTCAAATTGGTGGTGGAAAAGAGGAACAGAAGGAATTATCTAACCCAAGGGAAAAAATAGGAGAAAACATATTATAATTCATTTGTGTAATCAAAAATTTGATTCAGTTTAGTTTTAAAAGAATTATCTCTGCAAATCACATCTGATTATAATTGTAGATGGTATGTGTTAACAAGAAGCACTTCAAGTTGTGCCTTGTGTGTGTCTTTGCTGTAACAAGTTTTACTGAGTGATTATCTTGAAATCAGCAGAACAGTTATTTCAGATTGGATTATAAAATTATTGGTCACTTTCACAAAAACAAGAAGCTAGCAGGAAAATATGAGTAGAGCCAGATTCTAACATTTTGTATATGTGTTCCATTTTAAAATACACTTATTTTTAATACAAGCCATACACTGAAGAAAAATTGTTGCCATTGCCTTAATATATTTCTACCTTCTATGCTTTGCTGCACATAAATTTATCTAAAAACTGCTCTTCAGGAATTATTTATTTTGCCAACATAAATAAAATTTTTTTGAAAAATCTATCATTCTTTTTCAGTTATAAACTCTGACATACCTTTAGTTTTTGGTTAATAATTTTTCTGGTTTTCTCTATATGTTCACAACTGAAACTTTCGTTTTTTGAAATGATTATGTTGGGCTGCTCAAATACACGTGTTCACTCAGTAAACATTTATTAAGTTCATATGAGCCTGACTTTGGAGATATAAAGATAAGAGGATATAGTTTTTACATTTGAAAAGGTGGGACGCTGACACAGGAAACATACACTCCACTAAAAATAGATTGTAAGCTTTGTAAAAAGCAGGAGTTCTTGTTTTGTTCATTGCTTTATTGCTAATAAGTTAATTATGTGGGAGAGTGAGAAAAGATTCACAGATGAAATGCCATTTTGAGTATGAAGGGGTGTCTCAGGAAGAAAAGACCAAGTACAAAGCCATGAAATCACAAAGCCATGCTGTTGTGAAAGCATGAAATTTTCTGGGAACAGTGTAAAATTCTGTGTGACAGCAGGATGGGAGAAGAGTTGGAGATGAATTTTCAGTTTTTATTGCAGCTAGTTGCAAAGGCCTGTGTGACAGGCTAAGGAATTTAGGTATCAGTGAACCAAATGTTTTTTACCAATGACACGATTTCACTGTATATTATGCAATATTGTTTTTTAAAAGTCCTCTATACACAACAATACACGTAACTACTTATTAAAAAATTTCTAAACTAGTAGTCACGTTAATAAATGTTTGGGAAGTATAAACTTAATTATTAAAAGCTATTCTTTTTTAATGTATCTTTATTGATTTCAGAGAGGAAGGGAGAGGGAAAGACAGAAACATCAATGATGAGAGAGAATCATTGATCAGCTGCCTCCCACACTGGGGATTAAACCTACAACCTGGGCATGTGTCCTGCCAGGAATCGAACCGTGACTTCCTGGTTCATAGGTTGATACTCAACCACTAAGCCATGCCGGCTGAGCTAAACTTAATTATTAATTTAGTTTTAAATATAATAAAATTTGCCTTTAGTCTTGTGAACTTGTGACACTCCTTTCAAGACATACAGCTACAAATGCAATTTTTAAAAAGTAATCCAGTTTTTAAGTTTGTTTTTTTTTTAAATTTGTTTTTATTGATTTTTAGAGCGAGAGGAAGGGAGAGAGATAGAAACAATGAGAGAGAAACATAGATTAGCTGCCTTCTGCACACGCCCTACTAGGGACGAGCCCGAAACCCAAGTGTGTGCACTGACCGGGAATTGAATTGGTGACCTCCTGGTTAGTGGGTGGACGCTCAACCACTGAAGCACACCAGCTGGGCAGTGCTAAGTTTTTATATACTATGCTTAAGATTCTGAATAAGCACAAACTCTCTACTTTCCTTAGTAATTGATTCTTCATGCTGATTACAATTCTATTTTCTGTAAATGTTTCTATTTAAATTTTTTAAATTGTGGGGGTGGGGCGTGGGCAAGCTAGAAGAGGTCAATGGGGGAAAAAGGGGACACAATACTTTCAACAATAAAGATTGCAAGAATAAATAAAATTGTATTAACTTTCATGTAAATAAGAGATACTGATATGATTAAGTATTCTCGTACCAGAAACAAATACCATAAGATTCAATTCTTCAGATTATGAATTACATAAAATTTTCTAAAAAAAAAATCTGTGAATGTCCTTGATAGTTTATTAGGGAAGTGTATGAAAGCAGGGATTATTTTTCTTGAAATTTAGCTTTATTAAGAAGAATGGCTCAGAATTGCTTCAGATGGCTCAAAGAAAGACCCAAATATGGTACCAAAAATTTATTTGAACTAATAATACTGAGTTCTTTTTGATGTTTCCATTCAATGAACTTATCAACCCTTGGTTTTGAGAACATAGGGCGTATTAAAGTGTCTGCTGTTTTTTAATGCTATACCATTGTAACTGCTAATAATAAAAAGCATTTTCCTGCTTTACACCAAAATATTTACATTTGAAAGGTCATATGTGTTCTCTGATTTCTTTTCTTACAGCTTGCCAATATTTGCCGTGCTGAAATGTTTTAATTTAAAATTTCCTTCCTTTGTATCTTTTAGTTTTCTCTGTTGCTGCTTTTTCTGTGACACAAGCCTTTCATTATAGTCACTCTTCTTTTTTCCTTTCCCACTTCTTTCTTTTCCTTTTTTTAAAGCCATGAGAAGCCGATCCATTGGTGAATGTGCTCTGCCATCGGCCTATATACGCAGTGCTAAAAGTGCTCCTGTTCTGATCCATACTTCCAAACCCTTCTTGCCTGATATTGTTCTCACTCCCCTTTCTGATGAGCTTTCAGGTAGTGCCACCTCTGCTAATTTCTGCACCACCATTTTCACTTTTTAATCCTTCTGCTTTCAAATTTTGCTTAATCAAATAAACTCTTCAAAGTTAATTTCTTTGGGGGAGGTGTGGGAAACTGGGAAAGTGGTTGAGAAATCAACATTTTGAGTTATTTGAACTCTAATGCTATCCTTGCAGTTCATTCTGGAAGTGCTAAGTTTAGTGCTGTGCCAATGTCTAGTATTTTTGGTTGTAAATGGCCAATTTTTTTCTGTTTCTGTTTTGATTTTTCTTTTTAGATGGTTAAAAGATGTAATAGTATATATTTATGTCATTATAATGTTTCAAAAAAGATGACTTGGAAGATAACAGTCAGAGCCTTGACTTTTAATTTTCCATTGTTTTACTAACACTTTGGTATATCTTGAATAATGTAGTCTCTGTCATCTATAGTAATGGAAGTAAGCAAGGCGAGTTAATATCAAGAAAAGTACATAACCTAAAAGTTGTTTTATAATAAATCTTTGTATTTATATTAGCTTATAATAATATATTGAATTCTAGGAACTCACTCATTTTAAAACCAAACAAAGAAACCATTCTATGAAGCCTCAATTTCTAAGGAGCCTTAAAACCCGCTCAACTTTTCAGTTCTACCTCATGTTCTTGATTCCCAGTTACTGGTATGGTCTCTTTAATAAGGTTTAATTAATATATAATAAAATGTATAGATCCTGGTTCAGATTAATGAGTTTTGAGAATTGTACACACGTCTATTAACCATCACCAGAAACAAAATATTGAAAGTTTCCATTCCCCCTATAATTTCTTAGTAACACTAAATCAGTACCCTTCCGATGTACTAGCGCATGCACATGCACAACCACTTTAATTTTTATCACCATAGTTAAGTTTTTCTTTTAAAAATAAGTTTTCAATGAATAAAATCATATAATGTCTTGTCTTTTAGAAAGAAGCAAGCCTGTGTTGAATGTAGTTACTATGAAAAATGTGCTAGCTCAAAAAAGTTACCTGTACATTCTTGGTACTTTACTATCTCTCTTCTTAGGACTACATTGCCACTTATGGTGAGGTTGCTGATTTTGTTTCGGTTTGTTTTTTTAAAACAACCTATCTCCCTTTCAGTTCCTAATGACTAGGCTTATGTGAGGGAAGGTGCATTTTTATTAAGATTTCAGGTGAAGTCCCTTCCACCATCTCTAAAACTGTTAAGATCAGAGATTTCTCTCAAAACCAAGAGTTAGATAACATGTAGACACACAGACATTCTTGTGTTTGGTATTCTTTGGAAATACTGTCAATGAAAAAACTTAGTATTCACTTAAAAAATTTTTTTGTATTGCCTTTTTCTAAAATGAGAAAGTGAAATAGTCAATTATCAGATGTAATATATTTGTATTTTCTATTTCAGGATATCTTGATTGGGAAGGTTACTTTAATATATTCTTTATGACATTTTTGAGAGGTATTCAATATTATTTTTGAACCCAAAATATAATTAGAAATAATGAATTTTATGATACAGTTGTGCAGTTTTATTGGTGACAATAATAAAATAGAAAATTTGACCTTAGATCTAAATCTGGATGCTCAATAAGTATTTGCTGACAAATGTATTTTATATCAATAAAATTAGGCTACCTGAATTGATGAAACTATTAGTACAAAAAGTAGTAAGATTGGAAATAAATAAATGGAATACTATGAATTTTAATAACATATTTTTGTTACATTTGATTCCTCCAAATAAATAATTAGGATATTTTGTCTTTTCAGTGCTCCATGGAAGCACTATACCTTCTTATATAAGTAGCCCTGGTTTTGGTTGCTAATATCAGATTATAATGTTTATCCAAATGGCAAATAAAACAATGTTTCTGTTCTTTTAACTAAATTAGATACAAATAAAAGATACTCCCAATTTGTTGTAAACTTCTCTTAGATAAATTTTTTGCTTCAAGCTTTGTTTAAATATAGTTAAAGCATTTAATGCAAACCACTTTTGATGTGTTTAGAAAAATAAAATGAGGTTTGACCATTCTTAAATGTTTGCTTGGATTAAATATTCTACTACCATCTTAAAACTGTCAAGAAGACTTATTTTTTTTCAGAGTCTTAAGGGCTTTACAAAATTTATTGTCTGCAACTTAAGTAATATTTTGGAAAATATGCATGCTAAGTGCTTAAGTATTATTAAAATGCTCAAATAAAGATGAGGTTGTTTCCTTTAAAATATTCTAAAGTTGTTTCTTCACCAGGATCAATTCCTGTTTCAGAATTCTTGCTTGTTGTCAATACATAATTCAGAAAAATTACCTTTTAATAATTTGATGGGGGAGGGGACTGTTTTATGTAGAATGTTTGAAAGGAATTTTCTAAATGGATGCTTTATTTGTTGTTTTCATTTTCCCCATTTGGGATAAAATTCCTTCTATGGTAGTTTTAAAGATTTATATAATAGTGAGACACTATTTACTAAATCAAAATAAATTTTATATCTGATTATGAAAATAATGTTAATTTTAGGAAATATGGATTATATGGGAAAGTAAAGGGAATAATATACATAATCCTCCAAACCAGTGTTTTTTTATTGATAACTTGAAAAACAATTTCCTCCATTTTTGTGTGTGTGTGTGTGTATATATATATAAAGTAAAAAAACATAACTAGACTTTGAGTAAAAATCATTTTTCTCTTAGGACTTAAAAGAAGTAAGGAACAAAAAGTAGCAGCAAAAACTCTCCTTTCCTGAGAACTGACTTGTGAATGAATCCAGCATTTTCGAAACTGATGTGTAAATTGAAAACCTTTTCAAGGAGATGTTAATAGGCATAAAAAAGGTTAAAGATTTATAGTGTACATCAATACATTAAAGGCCCCCAGAAGTCCTATTAAGAAATTGTTTAATTCAATATTGTTGTATTAACAGTGCTAAATTTAAAGGAAATCACAGTCTTAGATCCTCAACTAAACTATTTTCTTCCAAGGTTTGAATAAATTTTACTTTAAAATAGTTTAATGTACAGAGAAAAAATAATAAGGAAAGTGAACTAGCACATAAAGAAAAAATGTAACTCACAATTCTGTATTTTATGAGACTGTATTTAATTGAACTCAAATCCTGGGCTCGTCAGCTAAGATAGAGAGTTGAGATGTCTGTAACAACTTCACACACACACACACACACACACACACACACACGTTGCACACCCCAATACTTATATTTTGTTTGAAATAATCAGAGATGATCTCAAAATTATGTTCTTTTCCACAACTATATG